TAAATACATATAATATTAAACTATAATAAAAAGAAATCAAATATTAGTGAAAACAAATGCAAAAAGATGAAACTCCATTAAATGCAGCTACGACTACTTCAACGTTCAAATTTTTATCCTGTCGACACGAAAATTCTCTCTCTCTCTCTATCATTTAACAATAAGCACAAGCAGTTCAAGCCAGCAACAACAACAACAACAACAAAAACAACATGCAACACACAAAAACAACAACAACACAGCGCCTACTAAAACCAACAACAACAACAAATACAATTAACCCGAAATAAAACTCTTTCGAGAATAAAACTGAAAATTCAAAAAAAGAAAAACGAGAAAACCTAAAGAAATCTCTTCACTTGCTACTACTAAAAATTATTGAACACACTGTATTATATTACAAAAAACAACAACAACAGATACAAAGCAACATTTTGTATTATATGACAAAGTACCACAACATCAACAACAACAACAACATCAAGCCAGCAACAACAACAAGCAACAGCGCAAAAAAAATAGAATTTTTATAAGCAAACGCAGCAGCAAATCGAGTGCAGCAAACCACAAGAACAACTACAACAACAACAACAAAATTCAGTCCAATCTTAAACAACAACAACAACAACAAGTACAACAATAACAACAACCAGCTTTTTGCTCGCACTGTACAAAAAAAAATTGATATATATTCAATTTAAAAAGAAAATCTACGCGCCAAAACTCAAACTTTACTAACTAATTTATATTGCTAATTATTTATGATTTTTGTTTGTATATTCATGATTTTATTTGATTTTATATTTCTTTTATTTTTACGCCAGTGTTTTTAAAGGTAATAACAACAATAACAACAACAACTACTACAACAACAACAACAACAACAACAACAACAACAACAGTTACTATCACAATAATAATCTAAAGAAAGAAATAATAAAAACAGCACACGGATCCAAAACCCAAACCTCGATTTATCTAGCATATATAACAATCAAAATGCGTTGCCATAGCTCGCACCCAGCCCCCGCCCCCTGCCCCTACTAAAGCCTGCCCGCCTGCCTGAACAAACAACAAACGCCCAAACCAATCGCCCGCCCGCCTGCCTGTCTGCTATCCAACAAAACTTAACTTACTTCTTTACCTTAACCCCGAAAGCAACAGAAAATGCAGAAATACTAAAAATACTATTAAAAGAAAAATACTAATACTACTATTGTTCTGTTTGTTGTGAGTGTGTGTGTGTGTAGAAGTTTCAGAACAGAAAGAAACCCAAAGCAAAAACAAAAATAATTTAAGTATATATTCCAACAACAACAACTACAATTACTACTATTACTACTACTACTACTACTACTACTACTACTCCAACTACTACAACAACAGCTACAACAACAACAGTTATGCAACTAAAAAATCAAATATATGAATGCACCAAAACTTAAGCAAAAGTACAACAAAATATTTATATATATTCAATTTTATGCAATCTATACAAAAATTCAAAAACCAACCACGAATTATGCAAGCATAGTATATGTATATATGTATATATAGAGCTATATGCCTATATATGTATATGTATGTATGAAAACTCTATATCTGGGCAGGACTAAGCATCACAACAACAACAACAAAACGCAAAAAACTCGCAGACAAAATACAAAATAAAAATAAAAATAAAATAAATAAGATCAAATAATAATAATAATAATGTTGCAAGCAATCAGTATATGTCTACTCACTACAGTCTCTATATAGTATCTCTTTCTTTCTCTCTCTCTCTTTCTCACAATCACAAAAAAAATACCCAATACCCAACACTATTCTACTATCTATCTCTATCTCGCTTGTGTTTGTCTGTGTGCAGGGATGCATGGCACGGGCAGCGACGCAGCAGATGCAGCAGCCGCAGCAGCGCTAAAATTGTTGTTGTTGATGGACAAGATCAAACATCATGATATAATACAGATGATCTGAATGATGTTAATGATGATCGTGATGATCGTGTGAGATGTTGACAGCGCGGGATCGGATTGTGGATACGCACATGGATAATAAAATAACGACTGCGAGAGCTACTACAACAGCGACTATTGCCAGTAGAGCTAATGCGACGACAGCTGCTGCTACAGTCCCGATTCGCTAGTCGCTATAGAGCGTACAATTTGAACAGATCCTTGAAATGTTTGGGGCGTTGTTTGTACGCTGACAAGTTTTTGAATTTTTTGCATAAAACTGAGATAAATGAGATAACTGAATCGATTTATCGATCTACTTATCGTTATCGGAAGAAAAATGTTGCCAATTGTGGTTGTTGCTGTGCCTGATGTTGCAAATCCCACGAGTCGAAGCTAACTGAGAGAATAATAAAAATGAGATCATAAAATATAAAATTATAATGAAATAATAATTGAAATATAATTTAGTTTTGGAATTATTTACCCATATAAATATAGATTTATATATACATATATATGTATAACTTATATATATTATATAATTTTTGTTCTGTATTTCATGCCATGAACCACAAATTTTCCAAGCTTCAAACTTTATTTAATTTATCAAAAGTTAACAAAAAATCAAAACATTTACCATTGGGATCTGTTCAAAGTTATGTAACTATATAGCTCTATATGATCGAATTTTTGGGGCGTGTAGAGAAGTTGTATGTACCGTTGGCCCATTGGTTTTCGTCGATCGACAAAGTAGTTTCTGACGGTTCACAAAAAGAAAAATATTTTATCGATATATGTATAAATATATAAATTGTGCACCGTTCTTTGGAGAGAGACCGCGACGTCGACTAACGTTGCGTATTATCACACACACACACAGCTACTGTGACGGAGGTGAGTCAGTTGAAGCACTCTATACTAAATATAACTACCTACCAAATACCAATTATCATAGCTTGTAAGTGCAAAATCAACGTAAGATAGCCCCTAACCACTGAAGCGCGTAGAGCAGCACCTAAAATTACTTTATGGAACTTTACAAAAGTGGATTTAAGGAAATATAATAATCACAGATCTCCAAAACTTTTCTTTATGGATAATAACTCGGAATAAAAATTTAAGAGAAATGCAAAGTATCTTTAAATATTTTGTTATTGAAGTAGTCCCTGAACTTAAGTAGTAAACACTAAATTGCATCCATCATTTTTTATTCTATAAATTTGAAAAAGCAGCGAACCTGATCAAATGTATTTCAAGATCTTAACTTATTTACCCTTGAACTATTCTAGTAAATTTAAATATTTAGCTTAAATTTGAGAGATGAAACTCAATTGATTATCAACCAGAATATATATGAATATATTCCTAATTCTTAGGTAATAATTTATCGTCTAAAAATTTCCCTTTATATATGATATTTACATTGAGGATAAGTTCTATATCTTAGCCATATTCCATGATCGATTGCATAATCTGAAAAATTCTTTAACGATTTTCATTTTTTCGCGGCGTAGACAATCGATTTCTGTTCACTTTGTGGTTCATGGTTAGATTACATTATTTGAGATCTTTTTCAGTAAAGTCAGCTTTTATCGATATCCATAAATCTTTAATATGTTTACTCCGCTGTCAGCGCAATTGTCGCCTTAAAAGTCGTTTATATTCGTACTCAATGCAAGACATTAGCCCACTTAGCCATAAAAGTCGATTTCAGTAAAAACACAAAATAATTGCACATGAAAATTAAGTTTATCTATTTGTTGTTTGCATTTGTAGAACAGGTTCTCATTTTGGACCCGGCCAAAACGAGCTACAGAAAAATTTCAAGCAACACAAAAATAAAAACACGAAAAATAGAAGCAAATGACAAAAATTGGGGTCGCAGTCGCGATTTTGTTGGTCAGGTGGCCCTGAAAGTCAGGTGTGTGGAGCGTGTGAGCGTAGTTGGAAAATCGAAGGCGAATGTTGCAGCAGCTGCGGTTCAATAAATGGTCGATAGATGTCGCCTTGTTTCCCTTGTTTATCTAATTGCCATCCTTGAACTTTGCTCATCCATTTGATTGACATTCATGTTGTCGTTGATTTAGCTAATAAACCGCTAAACTATTGTCTGCGACTCGCATAATTTCGCTAAATATGTGTTGGCTGTCATAAATTATTGTTATATAAGCATTTGTGCCGCATTTCAAATTCAACGTGACGCGTTGCCCACAATTTGTTGATGCTGTTGTTGCTATGGTTATTGATGTTGTTGTTGTGTACTGACCTGCCCCAAAAAGAAACTCAAATGAAATTAGCTGCCTACACGTTGTGTCAAGTTCTTCTACATATATATTTATACAGTATATATCTCTTTCTTTTTATCTGTTTCTTTATTATGAAAAAATATAAGAGCAAGAAAGAGCGAAAACTGATTCATTGACATGCAAAAAACAGTGAGTAACACAAAAGCAGCAGCTGAACCGGGCGAACGACCTGCCAGATTTGATATATATACATATATGTATATATTCATTGCAGACTTTCTCATGCACATGATCTGTTCAATCTCTCTCTCTCTCTTTAGCTGCCTGGGTGTATCTGTTGTGTCCCTCTCTCTCACTCCCTCTGCCAAACGGTTAAAGTGCAGCTGTTAAAATGCGTCGACTTGAATACGTGCTGAATATACATATGTTTTGTGATGTTATTCCCGGGTTGGAACTCGGAGCCCAGTTAACCTACATTTTGTTTGATATTTTTGTGTTTTATTAGCCATTGTTTCGTTTGTTTGTTACTCTACTCTTTTAACAGTTCAACCGAACAACAACAAACACACTCTCAAACAGTCTCTATTAGTTAGCTATTAGTGTAAAACAACAATAATATACAATGGCTCAGACACAGATACACCACAACAAAACTCTTTTCAACTCAACTCAAATCAACTACCAACAATGCAAATCCAACAACAAACAATTCCAACAACCAACAAATTCAACAAATTTGTGGAAACATTTATCACGCGCAAATTGTTTGCCATTTGCTCTTATCTCATTTCAGTTAAGGAGATTGGAAATGGTCGCTCACCATTACTGCAGGAGCCTCTTTACGGTACACGACCTCAGCCCTACAGTGAGTAGAAGGCGCCTATTCATTTGTAGTTTCTGTTTAGCTGACAAATGTTGTACCCTTCGTTTTTTTCATTTTCTTACATAACTTCCCAAAAAAGAAAAGAATAATGAATAAATTTGTATTCCCAATGCCTTCTCCCATTTATAAACCCATAAGCTGCATATGGTGTGTGAGGCTGTGTCAAATTTTATAATTTATTTGTGTTTCTAACCAGTTCGTTTTGGAATTTATTTGGTTATTTAGGCATTAGCATCGGTCATTGAGGTAGGTGAAGCCACATTTCATACTGTTGTTGATCGTTGCTGTTTTTAGTATGTGGTTAGGTGAGTCTAACCTGATTCTCTGTGCTGTAATTACTGGCAAAAAGTATTCAATTACTTGAGTAATTACAATCAACTTGGGAAATTCAAACTGAACTAATACTGTTCTAGTTGCTAGTTGTAATTATGCATTTAATTACAGCTTTAATTACCTATGTAATAGCTAAGTAGATACCAATTATTTGCGGCATGATTTTGAAAATTTTTCTACTAAACTGGAGTCGTCTAACAATGATGTTTAGGTCTACACATCTTCCGACTCTGTAGAAATCTATAACTTAAAGTAATTCAAATATTACAACTTCTTTCCTATATTAACAATTACTTAAGTAATTATGCCTGCTAATGGTAATTACTTTAGTATTTATGTCTTGTGCCTTGAATTTGTGCAACGATTTCTGGATTGTCCGTCGTCTTTTCCCTTAACTTTTGCTACTGACATTTATGTTCTGGGCTCTGCCCACATCTATTCTTGAAGTAGTTCACATGCCATTTGGCAAATTGTCTACATAAATTCATTAGTATGTCAAATACAGCGCACATTCCGTCTCTTGGAGTGAACTCTTCTCAGACTTTTTCTCTATTTCTTGCGTTTACCAGGTAAACTTTTCTAATTGTTGGCACTTGAGCGTGTCTTGCGCAAGGAGCCCTCATAAAATTGCAATCATTACATTTTGTATGAGCCTCCAGTTTGTGCTTCGAGGAAGTTTTCTTCTTCTTTGCCTGTGACATGAGCGCAATTAAAGGAAATTAAGAGCCAACAACAAATACTGTTAATTAACTGGGCCAAAAGTAAAACTAGAAATGTTGTAAATCAACATTGGCAGAGCATTCGACCAACTCAATTTGAGTGCAAGTCCTTCAAGCAGTTGCAAAATAATCAAACCACAGTCCACAGATAATCGAAGTGCACACGTTTTATAGAGGTCCTTAAACGTGACAATATACTCGGCGCTATGCGCTATGCTATGCTATGCTGTGGTGAAAGTGCTTTAGGGCAGCGGACGTTTGGCAAAGTTCAGATTTCATTCGCATTGCTCGAGTCTTTGGTATTTACCGATTGGCTTGTGACGACGAAAATTGTGTCAAACGCAAAGACCTGGCTAAAGGAAATGCCAAAGCCCCAAAGCAGAGGAAACACATTCCAGTTAGAGCAAGAGGCCGAGAGAGTGAGAGAGAGAGAAGCAAAGAGGAAGGAATAGTGTGGTCGGTGCCTTTAGAAAGAGCGTGCTTGATTGCTGGGAACATGTGTATTAATTTTCCCATTGAGTTTGCGGCCTGCCATAACACCGCCGCCCCACGCCCACTAATTTTCGTTTCAATGGGGTGGTAATCGATTTGCAGCAACAGCAGGAGCAGCAGGAGCAGCAGCTTTACGTGTGAAGCACAAAATTAATTGATTTTTTATGGGCCAAGCACTTCGAATTCAATTGCATTCGAGATGATTGTGAAATTTTGTGGCTTTCGTGTCATTGCGGTCAGTCCGAAAATGCCAAGCACAGCTTTCGAGACTGCTAAATGATCTATCATCAAGTTGATTAAATGAACTCGAAGCAGCTGTAAATTGCTAAATTACTAGATGCATAAGACTCTTCAAGGCCTTGGATAGCTTTGTTTTGATTGCAGAATCTTATAATGTAAAATCAATTTCTACTTTTACTTGATATTCCCGTCAATTTTAATTGCTTTCTTAACTTTCGCATAGATAAAACTTAATTAAAATTAAGTTTTAAATGGATTTAAGCTAGATTGAGCTATCAAGTCAATTGAAAGCTTAAAAATACTATAAAAATTGCTTGTAATTCCCAAAAGGTTAAAGTCAAACTTGTCTTAATAGTCTTTCAGAAGTTCTATTCTCACGCCACACTTTATGCGAGTTTCACTCATTTAATTAGCTTAAAGTTCTTAATATTCAGGAACTCGTTATTCCCCACGCCCATATTTATTAGCCCAGCTAATTGGACTATATATATATTGAACCTAACCGAAACGAAAACAAAAACAAAAATTCACTCGAAAGTTGAGCTGAGGTTCATTTGGCAAGGCCATGAGATAGAAAGAATAACCAGGCAGCGCCTCGAGGCCGCACCTAGTTACAACTTTTGCATTATCTAAAAATCGCAAAACTATAAACTAGGCAACCGCGCCACGCCCTCCGTTCGCCATCGGTCTCTTCCCGTTTCTGAAAACTTATGTAAGCTGCCTCAAGGCGCAACATGGTGTGGTGGGCTTTTGGCTCATAATTCCAAGTCGAGCATTTTCCTTAGCCTTGCTATTTTAATTTGTGCGTAAATAAAATTTTAAGCATTGCTTTGCTTTTGCATTAGCCAAGTGAAAAGTTTTTAGCCATGACTTGTTGTTGTTGCTGCTGCTGTTGCTGTTTGTGCTTTGGGGACAGGAGCAGCCGAGCAGCTCTTGATGTAAAAGATTAAGCAGAAATCCGTCTCTGACTGCCGCTCGGCTGCTGCTTTTAATTGCATTTGAGGCAAAAGTTGAAACCAAGTTCTGCTTTCAATTACTGATGAGACGGGGAAGGGGCCGGAACGGGGAATGCTTGTGGGTCATATCTATGGGTTAGTATCTGTATCTATATACGCTTTTGTAGTTGTATCTTGCATAGCAGCTCGCTCGCCCCTATGTCAAGTATTCGCTCTGCATATATCTCTCACTCCGTTTATTTGTTGTTGTTTGTTTCTTGTCTTCGCTTTGCTCTGCGGGGAATTGCGCAAAAGTTGGGGGGTTTTCTTCTTCTTCTTCTGTTTTTTTTTGCCTTGTTATTTCACTTGTTTTTCTTGATTTTCCGATAAAAGTTCTCGCAAGCAAATTTGCTTCAATGCTCGTTGTGTGTGATAATTGGCTGTAGCCACGCCCACTTTGACCATTGTATTTGATTTTGATGTCCAGGTCAAAAGTTTTCTCCTGTATTTATTTTTTCTGCTGTCGGCCTTAGCGTCAAATTCAATTGATTTTACTTTCCGAAGTTTTTGGCAAATTCCATTGAATACCTGCGGCTTCTTGTTGTTGCAGTTAGTTTAGCTACGCTTCAATTTTCTGTCTGGTTGGATTGCATGCTTTTGGCTTAAATGTTTGAGGTTTGCAATTTGGGTATAGTTTTTCCGGTTAACATATGTTTCTTTTTTTAGATGTATGTACTTTAATTGCTTATCGGGAAAAACAAATAATTAAATTGAATTTGTTGTAGCGAAAGTGTTGTGCAAACAAGATTTATTTAAAGCTTAAGAGGAAGAGAGAGAGAGAGAGAGAGAGAGGGAGAGAGTATGCTCAGCGGCTGACTGTGATTGAGCAAGCAAATGCCCAACAGATTTATCTTAATTAAACGAAAATCTAACGAAGTTTGCTAAACTAAAAGAGAATTTTGTTTTTTATATTTGTACTAAAATAAAGTTTTAATATTTATAGAGGAAATTTCTTAAAATATGATATGATTAAAATCTAAGGAGAAGTTTTATTATTAAACTTTTCACACCTTGCACTCGTTCAACACAGTTTTATAACTGTTTTGCACTGTTATATTTTCCTTGCTGCTTTCACGACTCGCTTTGGCTTTTCGCCTTGACTGACTATGCATATTTAATATTTTCTTAAGCTCCGCTTTTATTGCCTTGTTGCTGCAGCTAGCGCCCATGCTCACGCCCACACCCACGCCCACTCCCATGCCTAATCAAGAAAATAATAATATCAAGTTCGGGTCTCAGTTGCACTTATGACAATGCAATGCAGCCAAGTCAGATTGTGGCTGGGCATGGCAGATGCCTTCAGCCCGAGGATTTCACTCGTCAAATGGAATTCTTCGGGGAGCTTTGTTTGGCCCGACTGTGCTGCTTGGCCTAATAAGCATCCTTGGGGAAATTATGATGAGCAGAATTCAATTTCGTGTTTAATTTGGCAGTGAATCCGTTCCTTTGTGCACCCAGTGCTCAGAGTGCTCTGAGTGGTTGTGGCCACGTCTTCTAAAACTTGCTAGAGTTTTCTTTTATTTTGCTTGCATAAGTTGGTTTCCCTCTCTTTTTATTTTTTGGCAATTTTATTGCGGCTCTTTGTTTAGGCGAATGTTTTCTTATTCGCTTTTTGTTTTTCCTGTTTCAGTTCTTTGCATTTCTTCAAATAATTTCGCTCTTTTGCCACGGCTTCAAAATGCAAATCTGCTTTGCATTGGTTTTTCTTATATTCCCCTCCTGCTCTTCTTCTTCTTCGTTTTTTATTACTCAAATAAATTTCAATATAGTACTTATTATACGATGCTGCATTTGCTGGCTTTTTGGCCTCGCCGTTAACCACAATGAAAAGTATTTTTTAATTTAACCACAAAGTTTTCTTTATATAAAAATCATCTTCTTTTTGGTTGGTTCTTGTTATTGTTGGTGTTTTGTTGATTCTTGCAGATGAAATGCTAAAGTGATTCTTATTAAAAGTTTCACATTTTGTTTAAATTTTTGTTTTTTTATTAAAAAAAAGTTTCCTTTTTAATCTGCTTGCTGTTGCTTTACATTTTGCGGTTTCACTTTGCAAAAGCTTAATTAAATTTAAATTGTTGTTGTTTTTTGCGGCATCCCATTACTTATATATATTATATATTTTTTCGCATTTAATATGCGAAAAGTTGGCCAGAAGTTAATTAGACTGCATTAAAATGCAGAGTGAAAGAGAATATATATATTC